AACACCATGTTAAACATGATGACTCATCAATTTACTTTATATTTGTTTTAATTTTTTATTTTTTTTATATCAATGAATTATTTAATTGGTCCACCTATACAAATAACTTCTTATCAAATTGATGCATTGGAGATACTAGTTTCATTGAAATTTTTAGTCTTTTAACATTATTCCAATATGGATTAACATTACAATCACTAATTGACATGTGTTAAAAATAATGGTCTTTCACACTCATAGCATTGGAGATGCTCTAATACTAATAGTTAAATTTTTCACGGAGTCTAATAAAATTTATTAGTTCATTTTCGTGTATATATATATATATACACGTGTAAAGTTATAATAAGTTAAATATATATTTTTTTAAATTGTAAATTAATAATATTATTGTATCAACATAATTGTTTGCTAAATAATATATACAAATAACTGACGTCTGCATTGACGAGCCTTAATTGGGTTTTAGTAAAGATCCCATCGGTGACATTTTGATTTAACTATAACCAATTCATACGAATTTGGAGATACACGGGTATAAGAATTAATCATTGTGCACCAATTTTAGTTTTAGTTTTATTAGTTTTGCTTGTCCTAGTTGTCTGATTGTCAATCATATTGGCATGATCATTGTTTTTTTTATAATCTTGATTCGTAGTCCTTAATTGGGTTCCTTGTAAAATATAAATATCTATATATATATATATATATAAAAGTTTGATTATTTTTTAAATAGTAATCATTTTATTAAAAAAATTCTATTTACTATTCAAGAAATTAATTTAACAATTTATGGTATATATTAAATGATCATTTATGCGGCTAATTATTTAAGGAAGTAATTAAGCCATATTTTAAGATAACTTAATTGATCAAATCATGTGAATTAATTAATATATAGTATAAGTGGACGAATATATTTTTGGTATTGATGGTTGTTTCTATAGGAAATAAATCAATCAATATATGATATAAATTGAGCAAATTTATTTAGGTTATTTGATGACTGTTTTTTGGTAGAAAATTTGCTGATAACTTAGTCAATATATGGTGTACTTTTTTTTGTAATGCGCATGCCAATATATTGGTTTTTAGGCATGAGTTTCAATTTTGTATGAAATTAACATAATAAAATTACCGTAACTCTGACAAAATATTATGAACTGATATTTTGAAATGTGCGTGTATCGATTTTTTTTTCTTTATAAGCTCTGGTTAATTTGGATAGTTTATACAAAAATAAATTCTTTTATAGTTAGTGGAGCAATATAAGTTTTACAATTATACTTATTATTCACATAGATTTTTAAATATATAATAAAGTCTCACCAAATTAATTTTTATATAGAATCACATTGTAGTCAAATCAAATTTATGAATCAAAATTTTAAAATGAAATTTATGAATATAATGTAATTTATTATCAGTTGCGTGCACCGTATGGGTTGCGTACTAATTTTAAATAGACATGTTTTATGTAATTTTGCACAATTTAAATTTTATATAACATTTCAATAAATTAATATAGGTAAATTGTATTACATATTGATTCTATATTTTAATTATAAATATTATTTAATTAGTATTTTTAATTTATAAATATTGATGAGTATCTCTTATCCGTGCATCGCACGGGATTCGTACTAGTTCTTTAAGTAATAGAATAACACTAGAAAAGAAGTCAATTCAACAACACCAAATGAGATTGTATTCATTTGTGTTCGCGTGATTTTTTTTTTGTCTTGGCCGTGATCTCGCCGACAACCGAGTGTTGTCTCTCCACTGAGATTCTGTCAAGTGGAATCGCAAGAGGATTTTTTGCAAAAGAAGCTTTAAATATACAGAGTGTAAAAAGTTACAAATGGAAGAGTTGTGGAGTTTTTAAAGCAGATTGAGAGGCACGATCTTTGAGGTCGGGGATGGGCCATTGGATTATGTGCAACATCAGTGGTCCCGATTGACTGAGGGGAGTTGATGTGACAGGTACTGAAAGGAAGGTCGGCTTTTGATAAGCATTGATCTGGTAAAGATAAACGATCCTAAGTGAAAAACACTTTCTAGGGTTTCGAGGTGACTCTAACTGGCGCAGGTCCCTAGGTCAGCTCATAAAAAGAATTTAAAGTTGAAAACACAGTTAGCTCGGGTATGACTGATTCATGGGAGCATCAGCTCGATACTAGGACACAAACTCATCAGGGAGCTTGGTTGAGTAGCTCAGGGTACGAGTCGACTTCACTTAAAAAGCCAGAGGCCGAGCTCCTTGTGGGGCTCAGACACATGAGGGGTCGGTATGACCTTGAGTTCATACAGGTAAAGGTCGTGGTTTCGACTTGGTAAGTGTAGGAAACTTAAGTTGTTCAACAGTAAGCATATACAATGGATAAGTCATGACGTGAGAGGGAACATAATCATGCTAAGGATAGTAAGTATATCTTGCTAATGTGTTTAAGATCTCAAAAATGTGTTGTGCTAAAAAAGGAGATATAGACATACAATATGACCTCTTTCTTAGTAAGGAGTCTACTTGAACAAGAAGATAATCCGGGTGTAAAAGAGGGTTGTCAGTATCTATTTTTATCATATTGACCAGCGAAACTTGACTTCTGCATCGAAGATTTTTCACCGAACCCCTCCCCGACGTGTTTTCCAGGTCACCAGAGCTTAAGGCGAAAGACAATTCGTGGTTACACCGATAAAAACGCAATCTGAAGACAATTTGCGTATACATGATGACTTGGCCACTTGGAAAAGATTAATTTCATTTGAGTTATTTCCGGACACTCTGTAGTTAGTGGATGCATGCTCGGGCAGCATGGGCTATGACCCAGGGCCCAATAACATGAAGGGCACCATCAGTCAACCCATATGCCTTATATATGTATATAGTATATATTAAATATGTGTAAAGCAAGCCCATAATTGAGCCTTTAAAAACTATAAAAATAGAAATAAAAATTTGTGCCGTAAAGAAAGAACACAGAATACCAATTACCAAACTAATCAACCCTTCATCATCTGTTCATCTTCCCCATTTTCTTTCATTCCCCAAATTCTAACGACAAGTAAATTAATTTTTACACATTATAAATGACTTTCAACATTTGTTTTTATTTTTCACCATTGTTCCCTTCTTTTTTTCCTCTACATCAATTGTTCAATCATTAGCAAAATTGTTAATCACTTGCAATAATATAGAGATTTCTTGAATGTTTTCTTTAATTGATCTATTCTATTAGTTTACGTTGTTATCGAACTGAGAAAATAATAGACAAGCAAAAGCAATGAGTCATTGACTTTCACAGGATAGCTGAAAGCTTGAAAGGGTAAGTACTACATATCAGTTATGAATTTTCCGTTTGACTTGTTTTTGTAAATTTTTTTAGAACTGAAATTGAATTTAATTTAGCTTATTTGTAGATTGGAAATTGGGGCTTATGAATTTACCATACCTGAAAATTTGAATTTAATATAGCTACAAACTTGAAATTTGGAAATTGGCTTATAAATTTATTTAGTTATTTCAATGTTTGGGTTTGGAGAAGTCTATGGACTATGGGTATTGTAGTTCTTATGAATGAATGTTGCTTTCCAGGTTAGCTATTCCATGCATTGAAAAATGCTATTCCTGAAACTCTAGATCATGGAGATATTATTAATGATTTTGCTTCTAGAAATGTCCGAAGAAACCTTTTTAAGCAATTTCATTTATG